GGCTGCATAATATTCCTTTATAAAGATTATGTATCATAATCATAATGCCATGCTGGAGAACATTTAGCTGATTCCTTATTTTTTGCTTTGTAAAAAATCCTCCAAAATCAAACCCATTGCTTCGCAACCTGGTAGGATAGGGTGTAACTGCCCCAGAAGGTTTTCTGTGTAATTTACAGAAATTGCAATCTGCAGAAGCAGGCTACCCCATCTTTTTCTCCAGGAGTGGTTGTTGGGCCCAGTTAGCAGCCAGGTACTTTAAGAATTGCACTGCTAGGGCTGCACAGTAAATCCGTTTTGCATACTTAACCACATTTTTTCCCCTAGAAATGAAAGTGCTGGGCATGTACATTTTAGAAGTTCCTACCGCATTCTTGAATTTTTTACATGTTGAACAGAGTATGAGCACCTGCTCTTTGGCCTGTGCTCTTTCTAGCCACATGATATATTCTCTCCCATTCCTTTTTATCTTTGGCATTTAGATTTGTAGCACTAACAAAGAAGGGCATTTAGTCATTTTCAGAACCTGAATCTTCCACTGTCTGTGGTGAGAAGTGGCACCCAGTTCAGTGATATTTAACAGCTCCATGGAATGCTGAAGTGTTAGTGCAGGGCCTTGCTGCCTGGGAGGATTCCTGGAGGCCCTGGTGATGGGAGCCCTGCATTGTAGAATGATCTTGCTTGCTTGGCTCTCTGTGGCCTTGGTGGGAATTGTGAGCATAGTAGGGCATCTACTACCATGTCATCAAATATCATCACCTCAGTTGGTGAATTCTGTTTTGGTGGGGAAATTGTTAGGTGCCACCAAGTTGTTTGTGACTCATAGCGACCCTATGTACATGAACCGTACTATATTTTGAGCCAGCCTCGTCTCTGACACACCTACTCCCATTATTCCAGTGACTGGATCAATCCAGGGTCTTTCTCCCTTGTGCTGTCTTCTCCCTTGTGCTGTCCCTCCACCCTTCCAAGCATGATGTTCCTCTCCAAGGACTAGTCCCTCCTTGCAATGTGCCCAAAGTATGTCAGAGAAAGCTTCATAATCATCTCCAAGGAGAAGCTTGATTTCACCCTCTCTAGGACAAACCTGTTTGTTTTGGAAGTGATGAAAATAATTCACATATAAGTGCTCGTGCCACCATTCCCCAGTTACTTTGAGGGTAGTGGTAATGGCTTCTGAATATCCAGGGTGTGAAAGTCTGTATTTAATCTTCTCTATAGAATAATAATTTCTGCTCTGATTCTAAGTGTGAATCTCAGACAAGTTTTCTGCCCTTTGTCTCCTAGAATTTGAAGAGAATATTACTTAAGCAGCATAGTCCTTGCCCATAGTAATATCAATAAATATTACTTTATAAGTCTCCAATGAGGTAGATTACAGTAATGCTTTCATATGCAGGGAAGAAAAAAAAAGATTGAAATAATCTTGTCAAAACAATAGTATTTACCACACACACATAACTCTGAAGAGGATACCTTTAGTTTTAGTGTTGATTAATTTGGCTGCTTAACAATGACACAAACCCCCCCTAGGTTCTTTGTGCCTTCTACTGAGATGCTTTCATTTTATTGGCTACCATCCTGGTGGCACTGTGTTTAAAATACTCAGCTGCTAAATAAAAGGTAGATGCTAATGGCAACTACTTCAGAAAGTTGCTGTGAGGATTCAGTAAGTTACAGTGGTTTATAGCAATGGCTACTACAAGTGCCTGGCACATACTAAATGCTCAGTACATGTTTGGTGCCTTTGAATCTGCTCTGTTGAGTCTACTTTGACTCATTGTTTGCCTTCGAGTGTAGCACGACTTACAGCTACCCTATAAACAAAAGGCTTGAAGCCCTTCTACAACTATTGACATTTCTCAAAGTAGCCCTTTATACAGAGGATCAAAACCTTGTCCTGGGGACATGGGGGAGGAAATGCACTTCTTGGTCCCTCACAATCTCGTTGTGTTTAATTAAGGCCTTGCTTTCAGCCAGTGTGTCATCCATCTCACTGAAGGTTGTCTTTTTCTGACCTTTCCAAGTGTGATGCCCTTTCCCCAAAGACTGCCCCTCCTGGAAACATGCCTGAACTATGTGAGATGAGATCTCATAATCTACTTCTAAAGAGCACAGATTTCTACAGGTGAGAAAGTGGATTCAGAGTCTTTTAAGTGTCCACATGTCAGATCTGAAATGAGAACTAAAGACAGAGGGAACCTTTGCACTAGCTATCATAGCTGAAAATGAGGAGGCATGTCACACCTTCCCTGCTTGTGAGTAGATAGGATTATCTGTCCAATGTGATTAATTCTGTCCTCTCCAGAGTACCACTCTACATGAAAATGTTTAAGCCCATGAAAGGAGACCCTGGACCCTCTACAATGCTGGCCTCTCTCCTCTTCCACCCCTCCTGGATGACACAGTCAGCCTGTCTCCAGTCAGGACTTGAAATAAAATCTCCCACAGCTGATATTAGACCGAGGGATGGTGTTTACCATCAAGTCTTGGCTTGCAGGTTGATTAGCTGCTACAGGAACTCCAAGTTTTGCTCGAGGGCCAGCCCAGCTTCTGCAGGAGAGTCCGGATGGTGGAGGAGTGGGCTGCCCAACTGGTGTGGAGAAGCAGATTGGCAGGGACAGGAGTACCTTGATCCCTAGCAGTTCCTCCACAGCAGCCCTAGGAGAAACTTGCCTTAGGAAAAGTGCCCCTCACTGATAGCTTAAATCTAGGTCAGTTGTGCACAATACCCTTTTGTCTCCACTGTCTGTGCAAACAGCCTTGCTCTTTATTGACACTCCCTTCCCTTGATGAATCTCACAAACTCACCTCACAGCTGCCACAGACCTTCCAGCTGTTGGGCCCATTGGGCAAGCCCTGACCAGGATTAGCTGTCTAGGATGTGTGGATGGGAGGGGCCCTCTTTCAGCTCTTTAAAGCTGGGTACTCCCCCGTTGCTGGAGAGAAAGCTCCCTCAGTCAGAACAGCAAGAGGTAAGATCTGATGAGGTCGCTGGGGAAGGTTTAGGGAAGGTGTTAAAATGGGCAAGGGCTATGTTAACAGCCAAGAGGGATAGAGGAGTTCCAGAAAGGCTTAGAGCCTATAAGACTCAAACTCAGTAATCTGCATTTTGTAATTGGGAATTCTAGGACCACCTTGGTTATATGGGTTTCCTACAAAATAGGAAAAAGACATTAATTTGCACAGACACTGCCCTTGGGGATAGATAAAGGAATATGTCAGATGTCTTTGGGGTGTTTTGTTTGCTTGATGTATCTGCTTCTAACTGTGTGCATGTACACATTTTTCTGTGTGCTGCTGTAGGGGAAGGAGAGATCAGTTTCGAAGTATCTCCCCAGTGTTAGGCACGACCCTAACCATTTAATTTAGGTTTTCTCGAAATCCTCCCAACACAACTTTGTGAGGTTGATATTTTTCTAATGTTTTTCTTCTTCTAAATTTTATTTTGTATTGTTGAAAATATGCACAACAAAACATACACCAACTCAACAGTTTCTACAGTTTACATTTTAGGGACACCACATTCTTTGAGATGTGCAGCCATCCTCACCCTCCCTTTCAGAGTTATACCTTCTCACTGCCCTGTTTCCTACCCAATCTTTGGCTACTGTCAATATGCTATAAACCATATAAATAATTCTTAAAATAGCATAATGTCCAAGGCAGACCTTTCTTATTAGTTAAGCTGTTGTTTGGTTTTTTGATGGGTTTAGGGTTTACTTTTTGTTTGTAGTTTCAAGATTATTTCAGGAGTTATCTGCTCTCTGGCTCCAAAGAGTTTATGCTGCTGCTCCTCTGTACTGTCAAGTCAGAATCAATTCACAGTTGACCCTCCAGCTGGTTTTCAGAGGCAGTAAACTGCACATGAGGAGACTGCCCATCTAATTCTCAGAGCAGCTGGTGTATTCTAACTGCCTGCCTTTGGCTTAGCAGTGTGACTTCTTACCACTAAGCCACCAGAGCTCCCTAGAAAGCTTGAAGTCCATGCCTATTTGAAATTCTGGTTTTATATGCTTTTCCCCTCACCCCTTTTTATCAGAATTCTTCTATAGATTTTTTTTTTCCTTTGAAGTCTTTGATCAGAATGTTCTGGTCCGGTGCTAAAAGTGGTAGTTGTTTGTGGAGGCAGTTAGCCTTAATTCCACATCTTATTCTTGACTCTTCTTCCCTTGTTGCTCTAGGGGAATAAAGGCCAATTGTTAGACCTTGACTAGTCACTTGCAATGGTTTTGGGTTTTTCTTCCCTTCTATTTTTGTTTTCTAGTACTTGTTGTTGTGAAGTGCCGTTGAGTCGCAGAGGACACAAAGCAACCCTATGAAGGAGAGTCCTCAACGCTTGGGTGCCTTTCATCCTTTCTCCTCGCAAGCTGTTATGGAAGTGGATGCCACTCCTCCTTCCAAGCTTGTTTTAATAGGGGAGCTCCACCCCACTCTCTGTCTGCATTGGGTAGCCAACCGTTAATGCATTTGACACATCAGTATCACAGTGTTCAGCCTCATGGCAACCACAAGTTACCACTGTACAGCAA